GTATAAGTCAGGTATTGTTTCCTGTTGAAATCTTTTTTATTCATTAATTGGGTTCCAAAAACGCAAACATTGATCGAAAGAATATTTAAATCGAGGCTATTGAGTTTTCAAATTGATTTGTAAATATCGAGGCTAACAGGATGGTTCATTTGAACACTATTTTATTGCGATTTCGGATAAAAAGAAACTTCTAATAAAAACAGAATTCTTCAAAGTCATAAAATACATTTTCTAACAATAAATTGAGCAATACAAACTTAAACTCTTATACAGAAGTAGTTGTGTTTTAATTTTCATTTTCTTGGTTTCCCTCAGTGTAAGGGAAGGACATAACGAATGTCGAATGGCTGACGCGCGTTCTGGGCTCAGTTCGTTTGCTTTTCGTCACTTCGCCTCGCTGCTATTTTTAGTGCCACCATTGTGGGGCAGCATCAGCAGCAAGAACAAGGGCAAACAACAACACTCTGTCCATTATGCATTTACCAAGTCGAAAACGCTTGGCTAAGGCACTACAAATCTTCTGCTCGGAGCTCAGCTCGCCGAAACTTCCGCTCAGCTCCTTTGCCCCATTCGTGTTTGTTTGTGTTGGCTTTAATTGAGCGCGTAAATTGTTTTAATTGCGATGCCAAAAGCCAAGTCGGGCCAGGGCAAACAGACGTTAATTGTAAATGAAGACTGTGGGCACGCCATGAAAAAATGCCGCAAATATTTAAAAACTAAATAAAGCAAGTAATGAAATTGGAAAAATACACACGAACACATGCCGTCACGAGAGATGATTCATATGCAAACTGTCCGCATGCATCAATCAAGGTCCGTTGACAGTTTTGCTGACAGCGGCGAAATTTGCATAAAACTATTTACAATAACAATTACATAATGGCAAAGAGCTGGGGGCTTGGTATATATAAGGGGCAGAATTTCCATAATTTTAAATGTCAGTTTTTCAAACGGTGTTTGGACTGTTGCCAAAACAGGGAAATATTCAATAGACAACCTCAACACAGCGAATGTCCTGAATGCGAGCAGGTTGCCAGAAAGTTTGTGTGTTTCCTACACCGAGATAAACTTGACTTTAAAATGCAAATTCAAAATAGGTTTTAGCATATTATACTAGAATAATTATTTTAATAAATTATGATATGCAAATTGATAAAAGTTTCACAAGTATATACAAATTTATAATTTTACAAGTTGTTTTTAAGCACATACTTTCGAACACATATATATTACTAAAGAGTTTGTTTTCACGTTTAAAAAACCAAAACGATTGTCAAATTTTGATAATCATTAAATTTTAAAGTAATTTGTTACAAATAAATTTTGTAATATTAGAAACTTAGAGTACATATATATAAAGAACAAATATTTTTATTGGGTTTCTATTATTTTTTAAACAATTATTCTATGTTAGGATCTCAATTAAGGTTAAGTGCTCCTTACCATGAATATTTCTCAATCAATTTCAGAAAAACGGGGTGTTTTTAAGGTATCTATTATTTTTTAAAACATTTTTTCTACGTTAGTATCTCAATGAAAAGGAGTTCTAAGCTTCCCATGAATATTTCACAATCAATTTCAGAAAGCTTACTCTTTTTTTTCCTGTGCATTCGGTCGAGTATGTGAGAGCTTGTCGATTATCGCAAGCATTCGACGAACGGCAATCTTTTGCGCTTGTCGGCGTTAACAAGCCACAGCCATGCGTTTAACTAAGCGTGAATGTAACAGTGTGTGTGTAAGGAGTGAGGTAAGGGGTAAAGGGATGGGGTGGAGATCCTGTCAGCGTGCGGCTGAAAAAGTGTGCGTGTGTGAGTGTGGGTCGGTGGCGGCAACATTGTTGCAAAATGATTTTGAAAAAAAATAACCATCAATAACTCAAATATAATGACAGTTTTCCACTTGTTGTTGCCGTCTCTTTTCCTCCATCATCACAATCCCAACATTCCCCCCTCCCCCACCTACCCCAACCCCTAAGTGGGGCTAAATGGATGAATAACTTAAACCAGCTGCTTCGCCTTTCCTCTTAGTGTGCGATGTTATGTAATGTAATAACGTCAATCAAATTTAAAAAGGCAGACCAACTATTTCAAAATCAATTTTCTTGCCCCCCCCCTTTTCTCATCCAACAGCATAAGCATCAGCGGGAAAGTGGAAAAGCGGCGGAAGGAAACAGGAAAGCGACCTCGGCTTAAACAAATACACAATCACAAGTTCTTGCTGCATCAGAGGAATCCTGAGTAGGATGTAGGATGTAGAGCGAAGGAAGTAGGCTAATGTAGCAGAAGAAGACCCCGGGACTCAGTCACTTTGCAAACAGTATCCCCTCTAAGCTGTGACTAGCGAAATTCGCAGTGAGGGACCGTGACACCGAGTGAAAAAGTGCCCGCCTTAGTTAAAGTTTAGTTTAAACTTTTCAGTGGCTCGTGGTTTGCCCCAGGAGAAATGTATCATTCGTGTCATTAATCATTCGTCATGTGGGACGGCGACAACATTTCATTTGCTTATCATCTCGGCTCAAAGTCTTTGGGGAATGAAAGCAACAAGAGTAGGCCTCAAAGTTGAATGAATCAAATGGGCTGCCGGAAAACTTATTGCTAAGCCTAGAAATCCATGACAAGTCAGTGGCTTTCCGTCCTCTGAGAACAAAAGCAGGCTGGAGTCTAACAAAAATATTCAGCACAACGGTGTGGTAATAATTGTGATTTATTTATTTTTGAATAGTTTCCTGATTTCTTAAACATTAAAAGTATGCTTCGCTTTAAGATAAATAAAAACAAGAGAGAACGCTATAGTCGGGTGCCCCGACTATCAGATACCCGTTACTCAGGTAAAGGGAGTGCGAGGGAGATAGAGATAGAAACTTTGATCACGCATAACTTTCTAACGAATGGTAAACACAATAAAACTGCACTTTTACTTTTCCGAAATATTTAAATTTTTAAAATCGTATATAAGCGATTGTGGGCGTTAAAGGGGGAAACAAACTTGCGCTGCGTAGGAACTCCTAGAATCTGCATGCAAAATGCCAATCTTCTAGCTTTTATAGTTTCCGAGATCTCAGCGTTCATACGGACAGACAGACGGACAGACGGACATGGCTATAATGACTCGGCTAGTGACCCTGATCAAGAATATATATACTTTATAGGGTCGGAAACGCTTCCTTCTAGCTGTTACATACTTTTGCACGAATACAATATACCCTTTTACTCTACGAGTAACGGGTATAACAAGAAGGAAAAGATGCAAACTACGCAAGATGAAGTTCATGCACCCTTGCAGTTATAACAAGAGAGAACGCTATAGTCGGGTGCCCCGACTATCAGATACCCGTTACTCAGGTAAAGGGACTGCGAGGGAGATGGAGAGAGAAACTTTGATCACGCATAATTTTTTAACGAATGGTCCGATTTGAAAAATTTCTTCTACATTTCGATAGGTATTGATAAACACAATAAAACTGCATTTTTACTTTTTCGAAATATTTAAATTTTTAAAATTGTATATAAGCGATTGTGGGCGTTAAGGGGGCGTGGCACCTTTTTGAAACAAACTTGCGCTGCGTAGGAACTCCTAGAATCTGCATGCAAAATGTCAATCTTCTAGCTTTTATAGTTTCCAAGATCTCAGCGTTCATACGGACAGACAGACGGACAGACAGACGGACAGACGGACAGACGGACAGACGGACAGACAGACGGACAGACGGACATGGCTAGATCGACTCGGCTAGTGACCCTGATCAAGAATATATATACTTTATAGGGTCGGAAACGCTTCCTTCTAGCTGTTACATACTTTTGCACGAATACAATATACCCTTTTACTCTACGAGTAACGGGTATAACAAGTTTTTGTAATAAATTTCATCGTTCAATATCTATCGACACCCAATCAATTTTTCAACTATTATTATAGAGGGTATTATGAAATAATATCCCCTGCTAGGGTATAAAAAAAAGACATTCAGTTTGAAAGGCAAAGTCAATAAAGTCACTTTCAAGCAGAACGAGCGAAAAAAACGGCCTGTATTGTACCTATGGCTTATACAATTTAAAATCCATAACTGAAACCGTATAAATGTATAACAAACAAGGAAGCTATGTTCATTTTCCTATTATATTTCGATTTTTTCTATTTAATTTATACTGGATGGGAATAATCGTAAATTCGTGCATGTTTGAAATCAACGAAGTTTCCTGGATTTGCATATTATTATTATAGTTATTTTGTTATCATTATTATGGCAGCTATGAGACAAGTAGTTCGTTTTTAATAAAACTAAAAGCGAATTGGCTATATTTCGGAGTATATGGTTATATGTTAAGAAACAACAAATGTATAATTTGTTTGACTCTCCTGGTGATCCTGATAGAGGACATATATTCTATATAGGGTCGGACACGTTTCCTTCACTGAAAGTTTTGGAACTCTGGAGAAAACTGTGGGAATTTAACTTTTAATAAAAACTTAAGCCAAACACTTAAATTAAAATAGTCCATTTCATTTTTATTAACTCAATGCAAGTATGGGTTTTACCTTATTTTTTGTTCTAAATGTCCTTTAAATGGGTCAAGGAATTATATAGATCTTAAGTGAATACTCCTTTCAAGTCAGCCAGTGGAAGAGCATCTATAAAAATGGTTATTTGTATTTTTGTCCCATCCAAGCCTGCTTGATTTTTTATGGCCATCACTCCAGCACAACTACTGCCCATCATCATCATCATCTAACATCATTCCTGTCCCATGGCCGGCCACTCAAAGGCAAGCGCTGAATTGACAAATTGATGGATGGTTCTCCAAACGCTGCATGCTTCAGCATCTCTCCTTTCATTTTTTTCTCCCTTTTTTGCCCCTTGTACAAGTATATGATGCATTATTATTCCGGAAAAGTTTGCGACCGCAACAACAACAATTGCTTGCCTAAGTGTTTTATTAGCCATCGAGAACAGAGTTTGGGTTCGGTTGAGTTGAGTTGATTGTCAGTTTTCATACACATCGGTTTTTGTTTGTTCTGTATTGTATACAATTTTCCTGAATTGCTTTTGGCTTTTATTGTTTAGCATGGCTTCTTTTTCGGCCTTTACCCATCAGTTGTCGAATGAGCAGATCGAAGAGCTTAAGGATGTCTTCGAAAGGTACGATATGGACTCAAATGGCACCTTATCACCGACTGAGATGCGTTTGGCTTTGATTTCGATGGGTCACGAGATCTCTGAAGCAGAGCTATACGATCTCATTCGTCCGGTGACTGCCAATAATGAGTCAGAATTGGATTTGCCCAAATTTATGCAAATAATGGCCCCCCACATTGCCCAAGTAAACAGTGAGGAGAGTCTGGACCGGACCTTTAACCAACTCGATCGCGATCACGACGGTTTCGTCAGCAGCCAGGACGTGCGTGCGATCATGCTCGTCCTGGGAGCAGTCGTAACCGATGACGAAACCAAGGACATCTTCCGTGCAGTCGATATGGATGGCGATGGGCGCATAAGCCGACGCGACTTTATGAGCTTCATGCAAAGCCCCCTATAAACTTGGCCACGATAAAAGTAAAAAATTTGCCCATGGCCAGTGTGCGTAAAAAACTTGCATCCGCAACGATTTAACACGAAAAACAATTGCACTAAATTGTTTGTCCATTCAGCAAAATAAAAAGAAAATAAGTGATTTTTGAATATCCTTAAAAAATTCCGGTAAATTATATGTAACGACGCAAATGTGTTTCAGGCAATTCCTATAAATAATACCCTGTCGTTGCCTAAAACCTTTTTTAATTTTAAAATTTTGTTCATAGAAAAAATTGTAATTATTAACCCATTTCCTATGAATTTAGATTTATTGCATTATTTGCAAGCAAGAATTTTAACTAATTAAAGCATGATAGTGATATTTGAAGCTTCATGACCTTTCTTATTTGTTAAATATATTACTTTTTGAAGCTTTATATTATTATTTTCAAACAGTTTATTTGATATGAAAATATTTAAAAATTGAAATCTGATACATAGAAGTATATTTCTGTCTGCAGTCAAAAAACCAAGGCGGCTGAATTGAAAACGGAAAGGAAAAAAATTGAGAGCATAAAGCCAGAAATTAATTCAACAGCACGTTTCGTCCATTAAGCCGCCAGAGCTTTGCTTGCTGACTTTGCCATCCCCCCGCCTCCTGCCACGCCCCCTTGCAGGACATGGACATGGACACATGTGCAATGGCCACTCACACACAAACACATATGCAAAGTGTTGTGTAAACAAGTCAGCTGCCAGTTGGACGGTAGCTGCAGGCGGGGCTTAGGAGAAGAACAAGAAGAAGGAGCTTGGCCAGAAGGAAAAGCCAGCAGAAATCAAGGTGCCACGCCCCCTTGGACTCGCCCACCGACGTCCAATTGTGCTCTGTTTGCTCCCTGCTGGCAGGAGTCCACCGAACCACCTTGACTCGTTGTCGTCCTGAGTGGCTTTAATATTTTTCAGCTGACGCTGCCCTTAATGAAAGCAAGAAATGATGCCACCGCTGCCGCTTCTTATTCCCGTTTCCGCTTCCTCTAATGCGTCTTCCTCTTGGTCTAGTTGTGCACTCAAAAAAATTACCATTTGACCAATTTTCCTGTTCATAATTATACAATAAAGGGGGATATGTCTCTTAAAAAATCTCCTAATACAATAACCAAATATATTGAGCAATTTTTATTGATTTATCCAAAGACTCAATTCAATCAAAAACTTAACAACATAAAAATTACCATCATAAAATTAAAGTTCAAAATTTGTATTTACAACATTTTGCACAGGACATTTTATTTCTTAGGATTTCTGTGAGTACAAGGCTTATGTTTTGAGGATATTTATATTCGAAGAAAATTCTTACATCAATAAAATTGCAAAAAATGTTTTGAGTGTAGTCTATGCTAGTCCTTCCTTGCCTTTCACTTGGCCTTTTCCACTTAGCTGACTTGGATTGCTCTTGCATTTTGTCCAGTTATTTATGGCCCGGCCGAGTAAACGAGTTCATTTAGCTAATGGCCGCACGCCCAACTGAGCCTACGAGAGATTCCTCTACGAGTCCTTCGGGTCCTTCGAGCGCTCTTTGTGTGCCACAATGGGCATTACAGCCCTGACACTGGCAATGTCATAGCAGCGCCAGATTTCAATATTTTGCATAAAATTGGCCAAGCTGGCGCAGCTTTCAACCCGCACAATCATATACATTCCCCGTCCAAACAACGCAGCTTAAGTATAAGTACGAGAGCATTTGTCCATTGTTGTCCGTTCCCTTTCTTTTTCCTCCGCATTCATAAGCTAGGAAGTCCTCTTTCAGTTGTCAGGACAACTATAGCAACAAGTCTGGACTGTTTTGGTAAGACTCGGAATTCTCGTATCAATTCTTTGCGAAATACCTTCGTAGCTATTCTTGTCGTTCACCTTTCTCATCTGCACTAATACGGGTTTCCGTCCGAAAAGGTCAGGGCTGGCAATCCGGTGATAAGTTGTACGGCAAATTTAATATTTCCCAAGCTTATCGTTTGACATTTGTTTTCATCCATCATGGTGCCAGCTGCATTTGTATGTAAATCTCAAAACCGATTATAAAACTAAAGATTTGACTACAAACGAAGGCCTGTGCCATCAATCAGGAAAGTATTTCAATAGCCTACTTTACAAAAACCACAGCAATTTTCTTTGTTAGCATTAAACAAAACAATAATTAATCAAGCTAAGTACTTTTATGGCACTTGTTATTTACAAAACATATTTATAAGCTTATTGTGTGCAGCAATAGCTGCCATTAATTTGAGATAAAGCTAAATTGAAATTGTAATAATAATTTGTGAATTATAGCTTAGTTTGCTTTTCAAAGGCAGTAAGGATCTGGATTTGTATATTTAATTTATCTTTGGGGTAGGATTTTCGGAACAGAAAAAGTACACTTTTCCAGAGTAATGTAATTTATTCATCTGTTAGTTTCCATTTGTCTTTGCAAGCGCGTTATTGTAGAATATAAATCATAAATAAATCGCGAATTCTTGTAGTCCAGATGGTATTTCATCATAGTCGTATGCAACGCATTTAAATGATAATATGTATAGCACGATATGAAAATTGATTTTCTCAAATGATCCATTGAAAAACCTTACCCTGTTCTGAATAGTTATTGTTTTAATCTATAGTTTCAATATCACAACAGTATTTTCTTTAAAAACAGAGGTGTTCTTAATATCTTTATGTAGTCACTCACCTTGGAACTCCTTCCGCGCTGCGCTCACTGAGGTCACAATATTGGCCACGTGGCCCAGCACCGTGGCGAAGAGCATCAGGCCGAAAAGCAGCTGCAGGATCACGAAGACGTACTCGCCCTTGGAGCGCGGCTTGGGCAGATCCCCGATGGTGGTCAGCGCCAGGGTGCACCAGTAGTAGCTCTGCAGATACTGCTTGACCACGTCCGCCGACTCCGAGTCGTGGTAGACCCAGTTGCGTGATCCGAAGCCATTGTTCTTGTGGATGATGTGGTAGAGACAGCCGTTCCAGTGGAATATCACAAGCAGGTAGTGGATGAGGGCCGTGCTCCGGAAGAGGTTCGGGTAGTTGGTGTGCCGCTCGGTGCGATCCATGAACGCCCAGAAGCGGTAGATCTTCACCAGCCGGAAGCTGCGCAGGATCGAGTTGAAGCCGATGGACAGGTAGAGAAAGTCCAGCGGCAGCAGGCACAGGCAGTCGATGTAGAAGATCGTCGAGTTCATGTAGTGAGTGCGCAGCTTCAGTGCGTCCGTCTGCAGAACCCCATCCTCCAGGTATCCGGTGCGAAAGTGGAACAATATATCGATCAGATACAGGAAGTCGGACAGATAGTCCAGGCAGAACCAGATGGCGATCGTGCGCCGGTTGATCTCCTGGAAGGCGAAGCGGTAGATTATCACCCAGAAGTTGTACAGGAAGGCCATGGAGACGACCATGGACCAGTAGTAGCACAGCCGTCCCGCCGGATCGAACACGAAGTGCAGTTTCCTGGCCGCCGTTGCCGCCCGAATCCGCTGCGAGGCGGTGCGCCGTGGCTTCTGGTGGTGCGGCTGGCCCCCGTGACCACCGGCCCCACTGCCGCCCCCGCTGCCGGCGCCACCGTGGTGCGGGTGGTGCGGATGTCCGCCGTGGGGTGGCCCTGGGCCACCGGGTCCACCCTGTGAGGGTGGACCGTGTGCGTGCGGGTGGTGCGACACCGTGGAGGCCGAGTGCTGCAGCTGGTAGGGGTGGTGCGCCTGTGGGGCGGCATTGTGGTGCCCCTGCTGCTGCGATCGGGAGCGCGGGTAGCTGTAAAGATAACGAAATCGTATTAAAACCAGATGTTAATCAGCAGTAAGGATAAGAAGTTGTCCTTATACTAAATAATCCCCGATAAGTAGGGGAAGGCCGGTTTAATGGTCCCTTTATATCTGAGTAGTGTGGAATTTTATCTAATAATCTTATATTTGTAAACATTTTGAAGCATTAACAGAACATTTCTGCTGAAAACATTCCAAACTAATTTATCTCTTTGCTTACCTTTTTTTTATGAAAAGACATGTCAAATAATATTTATGAAATATTTTACATTTATTTTTTTGGCTTTTTTTTGCTACTTGGCACGGGCTTGATTCTTTTCCAAGAAAATACAATTTTACAATTGCAGTTACAATTTTGTCGAAAAATTGTTGTTTATGGACTTTGGAATGGAAATCGTTTCGAAGAGATTTCTATAACCCCCGAAACATTCTTTTGATTACTTCGGGGGATTAACGGGGAGGCTGAAAATACATAAAGCCTTGATTTATGTATTGTCGAATGTTTCTATAACCCCCATATACATACATATACTTTTGATTACTTTGGGGGATTGATGGGAGAGTACAAAAATCCACAAAGCCGTAATTTATATATAGTTTGAGATTTCAATAACCCCAGGGACACATATTCTGTTGATTACATTGGGAAATTAATGGGGGAGGTCAAAAATCTATAAAACTTTGATTTATATATATAGTCAGACAAAATACCCACCGATCTGTGCCGTTGCAGTAGTTGCCACCGTATTGGTTGTGGCCGCCCATGGCCAAACTGGTGGCTCCGCCGCCGGCCAGCGTGTTATCCTGCGAGCCGCGTCCCGTGGAACGGTTCCAGGTGCCCAGGAGCGGCTGATCGCCGCTGGCAGCCGCTTTCAGGCGACCCCGCGACTTGTTGCGTTGCTTGTTGTGCAGAAGATCCATTTCTGAGGCAGTGCTTACGGTGGCCATGTGCGAGTTGGAGGCCCTGGAGGCGCATGGTGTGGCCAGGCTGTCGTGCGAAGTGAAGAAACCTTGTTGCGAGACACTCTGCCCGAATTTCGGCTGGGTCATACCAAACTTTGGTCCTAGATCTGCGGGTGGCATGAAAATGAGATGGGAGTGATAAGTATTTAATAGAAAATATTTCTTTATTTTACAGCTAAGTAGTGTATAATTATGAGAGAATAACAAATTTGGGAGTTGGCTGTGTCATACTGTGGGGATCAAACAAACTCAGAAATATTAAAGCTGAGAAGACATTTCTTAAAAAAAATCGCAGCAATTTTGAACACACCTACATCATTAAATTCTTTATAAACCATAAATAAGTGAATTGTCTTAAAAAAATTTAATTATGGGCACTTCGAATTAAAGAAAACTACTTCGACCTAAAGAGACTTTGAGTTATGGGCAGTACCTACATAATGTAAACGGTATTATAAATATTACAAATAATTAAGTAAGCTACCCTATTTTCAAAGTGTTTAGGAAGGGTAAACATTTCTTTCTTTTTTATTCAATTTAATTTGACAACATTAATGTTTTGGTTTGTGTTGCAAAATTGCTGGACATTTTTAAACGTTTTTTGGTTTTATTTTTCAAGGAGCTGGGATCACGCGGCCTTACCGAGAAAGCTCTGGCGATCGATCGAAAAGCGTCGCAGGCTCCCCAGATCGATGAACTGCTCATCGCCGGCCATTGTGGGTGTGATTGAGAGTTCGGTTGTGTGTATGGCGGCGCCACCTCCGCCACCTCCACCAGCGCCACTGCCACCCACATGCGATGCAATACCACCACCACCAGCCGTCGCACTGCCACCGGCGGAAATACCACTCGAACCACCGCCCACCGTGAGATTTGTGCAGGTGGTGCCACCGCCCGCACTGCCGCCCATTCCGGCGCCCAAGTATCCGGCGTTGCTCGCATAGAAGCTGCCATCCAGCTCGGCCATCTGCTGCTCGTAGGCGGTCAGCGGGTTGATTGACCTCGAGCTGTGATCCCGGTAAAGGGGGCGGGGCGAGGGCATCAGGGAGGGGTTGAGCAGCCCGTTAAGCGAGAGGCGTGGCTGCATGATCTCCGGGAAGCTGGCCCGCGGCGCTAATCTATGGCCAATGTTTGATTGAGATGTTGCTGCTGTTCTGTAGTTGCTGTTGCTGTTGCACTTATTGCTGTTGCTGCTGCTGCTGTTGTTGCAGCTGTTGTTGTTGCAGCTGTTGTTTTGACGTATTGCGACTGTTGTTTTGGTCTGTGGCCTGTCATTGTGAGCGGCATAAGCCGGAGTTTGAGCCTTCTGAGCCGGAGCCGGAGCCGTAGGCCTCAGCCATCGTTCATCATCGTCATCATCGGTATAACCATCGACATGGTTTTCGTTGTCATTGCCATCTGTATCGCCATCTATGGCCGTCGCACGCCTCAAACTGGGCGTGGCAACTGCAATCATCGTCATGGTTTCACGGTTTTTTGTCGATTAATTTGTAATTGGTTTCGCATTGATTTATGTTCGAACGGGAAAAGCACGAGAAATGTGATCAGAGTATAGAGTATAATTAATTGCAAGTTCTCCATTAATAACATTTTTGGTTTTTGTTTTTTTTTTTTTTGTTCTAGAGCGAGTGGAAGGGTTTCAAGGCACACACACAGAAATGAGCGAATAAATCACAATAAGAACGAGTGAGAGAGGATTGGTTTGGTGGTTGGTGGTGGTTTTGGTGGCTACAGGTGGTTTGCTGGTTGGTGGTGGTGGTGTTGAAAGTGTTGGTCTTTAACAACAACTCAACTGCAATAACGTTATCAAATAGCAACAGCATTCAACAAGAAACAACAACGAGATGTACAAGAACATAGGTATTCGTAAAGCTAGGGCTTATATGTATTTGGGCACGGGTATAATTAATTCCTACCAGGACTGTACACAGAAAAATTGGGTGTACTTACTAACATGGCCTTAAATACTAATATTTGGAAAATATTCTAAGCATTTAGTAGTTATTCTCAGGATTTTCTTTTATGCACTATTCACGTGGGTTCTTAAAATTTATTGGGTGTCTATTTAATGAATGATTTAGATGTACATTAATTTAAGTATGTGATTAATAGTCAAGTGAATCGATCAATTGAAGGAAACGTATTTGTACGACTGCATGCAAAAATTAGTTTTTGGACTAGGTGATGGCCAAGTACCTTCGCACCAAAGTTAGTTTACCTCCAATTAAGCCCCCAGAAATGTGCTAATAAAGTTAGATTTAATTACGTGCGCCTAAATGGAGCATGCAACAAAGAAAAAAAGACACACACGCCATAGGAGCTTCATTACTTTTAACCAGCTGCCTGGCAACTGCCACTTGGAAATTCATGAGTTGCCACACGCAAGGGGTCCGTACAGATTGGCCCAGAAGCTGCTGGCCAAAAGACTGGCTCAAGTGCCACTTGGCTGTCGAACAGCCAGACAATGGCCGGGACTGGGGCTGTTGGCTTCTAGTATTTGTATATGTATCTGTATCTGCGATGTCGCCAGCGAACTGCGTGCGGCGCCAATTCATTTATATTACGAACCGTTCTAAGTCCTCCGCCTGTTGCTGTCCTCCAGCAATTGGATACCTGCCTCCAGCTGAGTGCCTGGCCATTGATTATTGGCAGACCGCTTTTAATTATTGCTCAGCTTCTGGCCAACGTAATTCAATTAGGCCACCAAACAATGATGCTGAATAGATTGCCACGAGTCGAGTGTCGCGTCGCCTCGCGAGTAAAATGCAAAAATTGTCAATTACTTTGGCCCACCTGCTCCTTTCCACACCTTTTCCTTGGCCCTGGTCTCATCTAACATGAATTTGCACTTTCCTCGCTGAGCAATAATTTCTAATTAATTCGCGCTTAATGGCAACATACAAATCAACTTGACCGCGTTTATTTATTAATTCCACGTCGTCCTCGCCCTTCGTGAGACACTTTTGTGCCTGGCTACCCGCAAAAATAAATGTTATTTAGCTGCGAATGCATTATTAATAAATTCCTTGGCTTTCACTACTTCCCCCTCTGGCATTAAATGAAAATGTACGTAAAGTTTATCAAGCTTGAATACTATTTTTAATCCTCTACCTGCTATGAAATTGAGAGGAAAAATAAGTCTATCATGATGAAAACACAGTAAATTAAACAGTTAAAGGCAAATTTAGCAACATCTGTACATTTATTGTATAATTTTGGACAGGAAATGTCGAACATTACATTTAAGCACCGAATATATGTTCTCCTTGTCGTAAAATTAGAAATATAACTGTTGCAAAATAGCCTATTATTTATATTCGAAATATTTTATGTTTAGGACTTTGCGAAATATCAAATAATTTATTTATATATAATCAAAAAATATTTATAATTTGCTGTTTTGTAAGTTTAGGAAATATATATTACTACTTACTAATTCCAAATTAATAATTACTAATTTGATATTTTTAATGCAATTTAAATATCATATTCCATTACAATGGCATTTCAAATAAGTGAAAGGAGACAATGTGGTGGGTAACCTTTAGTCGAATCAATAATTGTAGTCGGCTCACTTGTTTGATTTTAGTTGTTCGGCACAAACTTAGTTTGCCAGAGTGCATTTCAATGTCTAGTGAAAGTTTGGACTACACGCAAACAACGTCAATGTACGAGAATTGCGTCACTGGCAATTTACAAGCCTGTTGCCTACTTTCAGGGGCTGTCACCGCAAATTGGGCCGTTTCCTGGCCGAAGTCGAAGTCCTTTATACGTATATACATGATGAGACATGGTGGGATGGAAGCCCATGCCTGTCCCTGACCGCATTCCAAGTTTGCAGACATAATCTTGGCACTATTTAATTTTGCTAATAGTTGAGTGTCATTAATTTAAACTTTTGCGCTTTTTGGTTTGTCTTGGCTGCGGCCTCGATGATAACAAAAACGGGGAAAAGAAAACCAGAACCAGAGCGGGAAAGCGGCTGAGTGAGATAGAGCGAAGAAAAATGAAAAATCTTCAGCTTAATGTGCGGCACTTTGTCATAGCCTGCCAGCCGGAAACGGAAACTTGCGACAAACTTGAGCAAAAGTTCAACAAAACGCTTGAGCGGCCTCACTCACACAGCGAAGGATTCTGGGTAACCAAGAGCCATGAATTGTCAATAAATTTGCCTGCCGCAAATCATCACAAGTTGGTTCGGCTTCGGTTGTTTCTTGCCTGCCCAGCGAAACCAAAAGATGTCCCTAAAAGAAAAACGGAATTCGGGGGCATTTCTGACAAAAACTAAACCTCAATTATTTGCTGCAGCTGCCTCGGCAAATGAAAATATTTGAGAACACAAAATACTTTGATAAAAGTTGGCCAGCAAACTTTACTTAAACATACTTGAGCCTTATCCAAACACGCGGCTGAAAAGGCTGGTATGAAGAAGTAGGCCAAAGTGGAAATGGAAACTTAAACGACACAAAAAGGAAGTCGAGTCTTAAAAACATTAACCAGAAACAAACTTCAGGGGAAGGCAGACCAGAAACAGCAAAGCCAACTGCCTGATGACCCGGAGCAAAGTGAAGCTTCCCACCTTATTGCTCATAAAACCCAATCGTTATCAAATCGAAAATACTCGGGATACCGAAGAGTTTTGTATAATAAAATACTTCTAAACGAAATTTCCATATCAAAAGATGTTTTAGGAATAAGAAAATAAAATATAAAAGTCATAAAAAAACAAGAAAGGAAAGCTAACTTCGGGCGGAGCCGAAGTTGATATACCCTTGCAGAATACTCTGTAAATTATATTCTCCAAAATTATTCATATGATGCATTCTTAATACTCATAAAAATCCCAACTTCCTAACTTTAAAAACACCAAAGTTATGGCATTTCCAATCGTTCAGTTATATGGCAGCTATAGAATATAGTCGGCCGATCCTTATGAAATTTAATAGGTTGGATTGATTGGCTAAAAATAAAACCCATAGAAAATCCCAACTTCCTAACTTAACAAACACCAAAGTTATGGCATTTCCGATCGTTCAGTTATATGGCAGCTATAAGATATAGTCGGCCGATTCTCATGAAATTCGGTAGGTCAGATTGATTGGCCAAATATAAAACCTATAGAAAATCTCAACTTCCTAACTTTACAAACACCAAAGTTATGGCATTAACGATCGTTCAGTTATATGACAGCTATAGGATATAGTCGTCCGATCCCGGCCGTTCCGACTTATATACTGCGTGCAAAGGAAAGAAGGGTGTGTGCAAAGTTTCAATTCGATATCTTTAAAACTGAGAGACTAGTTCGCGTAGAAACAGACAGACGGACAGACAGACGGACAGACAGACGGACAGACGGACAGACGGACAGACGGACGGACGGACAGACGGACAGACGGACAGACGGACATGGCTATATCAACTCAGGAGGTGATCCTGATCAAGAATATATATACTTTATAGGGTCGGAGATGTCTCCTTCACTGCGTTGCACACTTTTGACCAAAATTATAATACCCTCTGCAAGGGTATAATAAAGAAGATTTTAAAAAGCCTTAAAATTCTCAAATCAATAATGAGAGTTTGCTTATTCAGAAAGGGGTGCTTAGAGCTTTGTAATTTTAAAGGGACGCTTCTCTTTTCTGATGGCACATTAAGGCAATTCTAAAATAAACACTTTACCATATAGGCATCTATCAACAGTTAACTAAAATTTGTAATGAAAATTAACAATTTTATTAGATTTCCACTTTTATACGGCGATGAAATATCTAAATTTAGCCATATTTTTGATGATGGTGATCTATAGTGAGGCGCATCGAGTGAAGCGCCTATCCACACCCGAGTTTTATGGGCAGGAGACCTTCGAGCTGGCCAAGTATGTCGTTTCCATCAGATCGAGAACACCGGTCAAGTATTTCGGCGACAATCACTATTGCGGCGGTGGTCTTTTATCGTCCTACTGGGTGATCACCGCCGCCCACTGTGTCATGGCGTAGGTAGTGTTGTCCACTCGGTAGGATTCCTAACTAAAATTCCTGGCCGTCTCCTCTAGTCAAACCAAAATAATGTACAAGGCACGGTGGCTACTGGTGGTGGCCGGGTCCCCACATCGACTGCGATATGTGGTTGGCAAGACTGTCTGCTCTCCAGTGTCACACATGTACGTGCCGAAGAACTTCACCATGCACAACACCTTTAACATGGCGCTGATGAAGCTCCAGGAGAGAATGCCATTGGACCATCCACGTATTGGCTTTCTTCATCTGCCACATCAAGCGCCTAAAATTGGCATCTGCCACTCTGTTCTCGGCTGGGGAAGAATGTACGCGGTAAGGGCCTTTTTAATAGTCCAAAAGTCTTCAAAATAGTAAAAAGTTATCCACTCAAATCAGATTTTTTGAAACTAGCTTCTATTGTTTTTGAAAACAATTCGAAAGACAAAAAGCCTTGTTACATCTCCAGCATCTTCAATAATTACTTAGTTTTTATTTGTCTTTTAAGTAATAGTAAATAATCTAATAAATTGTAATAAATATTTATTTTCTCTCTAGGGCGGACCTTTGTCAGTGCAAATATATCAATTGGAAGTGTGTCTTTTGGATAACAAAGTGTGTAAGAAGCACTTTCGCCACTACAGCGAGGGAATGATGTGTGCTGGAAAATATAATTGGACGGTTGACGCTGATCCATGCAGCGGCGACATAGGATCCCCTTTGGTAATAGGAAAGGTGATTGTCGGCATAGTCGCCTATCCTATTGGCTGCGGCTCCACCACCATTCCGTCCGTCTATACAGACGTGTTCAGTGGGATAAAGTGGATCAAGAGTACGGTCTATGCGTTTGCCAGCACCATAAAACCAATACCACTCATCATGTTGCTAGTGATTTCTATAACCCAGTTCACATTGAATGATTGGGCTTAGATAAGAAGCAAAATTACTTTTCCTACGGATTTAGAAATTAATATATTGAAATGCTTTGTATAAAGATTGAGTAATAAATGTAATATATCAAAAAATAAATGGAAAATAGCTTTGTGACACCTGGACATAACTCCAGTTTGGAATTTGGTGGGAAAATCTATCTCTAAAACCTTCGACATTAAGGTCACCACAAGTCCTTTGCCACTCTTAATTGCCTCGAAGTCCGTTTGAGGACCGCGTACATGTGGCTTTAATTGACATTGCCACACCTCTGCCCCAAAAAGGGCAATAAAGCACTTAAAATCTGATTTTCCAGAGCTGTGAAATGAAAGTGGGAAATTCGATACTGGCTGGCCAGAGTGAGTGGAAACGTTTGATGCGAGCGAGAATTGAATTTGGGTGACTGGGTTGGTCCTCCATCCACTCGGATTTTTCATCCCGAGGATGGCAATCAAAATGCTTGGCAATGGGTACGAATCCAGCTTATGTTTCTCGGCAGGCAACAAAGGCCAAGCACCTGCTCTCCATTTAAGTAATGAATTTTGTGCATCTTGCCCTCATTTTTTTGTTTTCTGGAGAGCTCCGTAGGCAAATGCGTAATGACAACATTAATGCAAACGACTTCATTTAATTAAACGCCCTTTTGGCTGCCAGCGAAGGAAACTGGGAAATTGAAAGACTGTGTGTAAGGCGGCATCGCCAGTGCGACTCATTGGGACTCATTGCCACCATCGCATTACCCATGCCCATCCTCATCCTCATCTCCATCCCCATTCCCATTCCCAAATGGCGAAGGATCTCATCCTGGCACTTGTCCTCGGCGTTTGGTATGCATGAATGCGTATTAAGGTGCGATAGGGGGCGTGACACTGCCTATGTAGTTGTGCGCACGTGCGTGTAAGCGATGCGATGCGAATATGCGAGCATAAATGTATATCCAGGTGGAGCAGCTGGCCCAGATGGAGCAAATGGAGCAGATGTGACAAACTCGCCGGCGAGGCAGCCAATTCAATTAACAGTCGACGGGCCCAAGTTGACAACGGAGTAAGCTGTCAAAATTGCGGGATTTCTGTCTGCGGAAATAGCAGGTGGTCAAGTCAAAACGGATCGATGCAAATGGATTTCTTTAATATCGTTTTGAAAGAACAATTCACGCAAAGACAATTAATCTTATAGATTTCAATTGAATTAACAATCAGCGAAATCTAAAGAAATCGAAAATCTACCTGAAAGCTTTATAGGGTTCCTTGATATTTTCTACAACTTGATAAAATTGCTAATTAGTCCTTTTTGATTTCCTTTTTTTTCTAATGACAGGGAATAATACAGTAAGAAATCGAATCCTGTCAATAACCGGACGTTTGTTTTGTTAAGAGAAACCGATTCTACTTAGTAACATAAATTGCTTCCATTTGCATTTTTGCTTTTTTTGATATATTCATAAAGTAAACCAAACAAGGTAGTTTCCTTTTTTTGTTGATTTTTACAGAAATACCTAAAAAAAAGTTCTCGAGCAATTTGGAATACTAATGCTTTTGTAATAATATTTAAATCAGACGTAAATAATTTCCACATAAAGAGCTTGTTAAATTATAAAAGCAAAAATATATTAGGTTTTGTAATATACATTTTTTATGGAATTGAGTACAATTTTAATTTGCTTTGTTCTCAGGTTTAAAAGTCCTAAAGGAACAATTAGTCGTACTTTTTTGATTAAAATCTCGGTTTGCGCATGTGGGAAAATTCCTTTCGACTAACGCCGCTAAATGTACTTTAAATTTTCCAGCGCTTTCAACGTATTTAAGTGACTCAACTCATTAGCAGTGGAGCAACATGGATGCCACACAGCTGCTGCAACCGCAAAAGCAATAAAAAGCGTGGTGGGAAGGGCGGCAGGAGGCGTGGCTCAGAGGGCCAAAGCCAAACTGTTCATTTGCATGCGCTGGCGCTCATTACATTTACATTAAACTTTTAATATGCGCGGACATGAGGGCAAAAGGAGGCGAAGACGAAAGGACGAAATCGTGAAAGTTGGTTCGGCAGTACATTCGAGTATATATATACATATGTGTGCAATGCGGGTGCAACACTGAAATTGAGTGACAAGCGCTGGCGGCTGCCCGCATCCAAATATCTTTATTTCCCAGGGAATATGTGTGTATGTAGTTAATTACATTTTGGCCAGCTGCACATTCGTTTCAGCATCTTTTTGGCCTGATCCAGATCCCGATCCCGCGATTGGGGACCATTAGCCCACCGCTGAGCGGTGGCTAAGCCAGCTGAAAAGCGACTGTGCCTCGCGGTTCCATTGACATTGTCCTGGGACACCGGCATGAATGGGAGATGAGCTGCTCCGCTCGCTTGTCGCTTGTCCCACTTGGCGTATACTTGACACACGTGGAGAAATATTACCGCTTTTAAAAATTTCTTGAAATTTTATATCAAAAATCTTGAGAAGCCTGTCAGTTTGCACTTCGACTTAAAAAAAATTATTTTAAAGTTGAATTTTAATGAATATTTTCTGCCTTTTCCATAATCCGTAATAAAAGTAGTGTTTAAAATTTTACCAGTGACAAGTTAAAATGGTATGGATTGAATACAAAAATATTTCTTTGTTTTTTAAATTGGTTATATAAATTTAAAATTAAAATTTTTCGATATTTAAAATAGTCCGACCGCTGGAAAACCTTCTATTATTTTCTCAGTGTACGCGTGTTTAGCATGGCAAAAATCGTGGAGGGAACGGTGGTCACCCTCCACATGTGTGTGTTAGTCTGTTTGTGCTTAAGTGTAAGTGCATTTCGTTATGAGCTTAGCAGTCTTATAAATGTTTGCGTATTTGTTTGCCTCGACGACGTTGCTATTTACTTGATGTGACCTCTGCTGTACTCAGCTCGTCCGCTCTGAATCTCGCAGCTAAGCAACTGCACTTGCATCTGTATCTGTATCTGCAACTGTATCTGAATCTGCGACTGTATCTGCATAGCAGCGGCCTCTGTGTATGTGTGTGTGTGCTGGGGGTTAAGACAGCGCTCACAGCACATAAATATCTAAAGGATTCTTGAGTAACTTCTCTAATGGATTTGGGTTAAAAATATACACAAGGGCATGTGGAGGGCAAACAGATATACACATACACAAAGACACACAAAAGAATTCCTCACTCTGCTTGTGTGTGTGTTTAAGATTTACAAATTAGTTTAATTTAAATTAGAGTGCGAGCACTTAGCAGTCAGTTGCGAATGAAATGTCAATTGCAAGCACTACAGTGAAACTTGACTAAATGAAAAATTTGAACAATTTGTCGAGCATATACAAATTTGCACAAGATTAGCTAGACAAAGGCAAAATGAATTATTCCGTACGTTTTGAGGAATTTATCAACGCATGGAATTTATTATGTCTTGTGAGTAAGGCGAAAAATGTAGTTCAATTCCCTTAGGCTTTCCTCGCAAACATCAAAAAGAAGGAGCAAATTGAAGTTGTGATGGTAATTATTTAGGCCTTCCTCTCACACAGAGAACAATGCGGCATATTAAACGATTTTAAGCACAATTTATATATATCCATATGCGTATGCATGCCATAAAGCTGTCCAGAGGCCGTTGTCCCTGCTCCATGTTCCATGTCCTGTGACCATGTCCCCGTAATGGGACGAAAGTAATAAGCGTGGGCCACCAGGGCCAAAAGCGAAAGCTGAGGGGACCAGCTTATTGTTTACGACGTGCTTAGTGGCAAACTCGGCTTTGATAATGAAACGTTGGCAGGCAACACGCGCTGGCAGTTAACGGCAATTGCGACAAATGCCAAAAGCAGACAACGCCCGGCCAACAGCCCGGCTCAGCTCAGCACATGGCCTGTAATTTTGGCCACAAAGTTAGTTGCATACATGTGTATGTGTACATGTACACTGAGGAAAATAATGATTTTACAAATATTATCAAAATACAGTAGTCCAAATAAATCACTGTAACTTTACATTTATTTTGATTACAAGACTATCGGATGGGTCAGTTAACTGTAAAGTCGATTTTAGTAATGATTACAAGACTATCGAATGAGTCAATGTTTTTAAAACTATATTTTAAAACAAGCAAAACCAAATATCTGTAAAAAATCTCTATCTCTAACATAAAATTATAATGGAAATAAAGTCGCGTCTTACATCATCCTAACATCTAAGCCAACACTTGACCTCGAGTTGGCTAAACTTAAATTTACCTTCAAATTATTTACGAAAAGAGGTAGAAGCACTTTGTTTATTGTACACGTATTTTATGAAATGGTAGTTTTTGTAAACATAATTTACCAAAGTGTAGCCCAAGCTGGGGAGTGTGTAATGTGAGACAAGACAGGCGCACGTGATGTGATTAGGACAAAGCCGCAGACACAAACACTGTGAAGAGGGCAAGGAAAAACTTTGAGCTTAGATTTTAATTTTTGCCAGCGATAAAACAGAAGCCAATGGGGCAATTTGCGCCAACTAGGCGTATGCGTAATATGCGCCCACAAATTCCTTCCGCTCTTTGCCCCCGTGAGTATGCAATGAACATTTTCCGCCGGCTGATTATGCAAATAGTGAAGAGGGGTCTCCAAATCAGTAGATTCAATTTGGATTCCTGCAATGGCATAATTGTTGCTGTTCGTATAACATGCCGCCAAAAACTCCAACGGAAAAATATTTGCTTGTTGAGCAGTTTCAATCGCACTCTTTCGGACTTTCAGATTATTCCTGGCTGTGTCCGCACCACTTCAATTAGCTTGGTTGCTGCAGCAGCTGGCGCAGCTCTTTATCTTCCACCGCAGCCACAAATCAATAATTCACCAAAATGCAGCTTGCCGTTTAGGTTTCCCCCATTTCCCCGACATTATGACGATGCGGGGAAAACCACATGGGTAAAATCGGGGGAAGCGAACTGGCATTTTCTTGTTTTAACAACCGATAGCGCACGAATCAAACGAGCATAAAGTATATACTAGAGGCAGGCGATGCAAACTGGATAAGGTTTAGTAGTAAAGTTTGGTTTTAAACTTTTAACTATTTAAGAAATGTAAAAGTTGTTTAATGAAATCCCACTGGAAAAATCTTACTGCT